CTCTCTTTATATCTAAGTCATGTATCCATTTTGATTTTATCTTGGTAAATGGTAAGTTATTGGTCTATGCCTAGTTTCTGCCATACTATTTTTCAGTTTTCCTAACAATTTTTACCAAATGATGAATTCTTATCTTAAAATCTTAAGTCTTAACACTTGTCAAATACGAAGTTATTAAGTTTGTTTGCTGCTGTAAATTGTATGTCTACTCTATTCCATTGACCTACATTCCTATTTCTTAGGCAGTACCAGACAATTTTGATAATTACTGCCTTATAATATAGATTAAGATCTGGTACTGCTAAACCTCCTTCCTTTACATTTTTCTTATTATTTCCCTTGACATTCTCGAATTTTTATTCTTCCAAATAAATTTTGTTATTATTTTTTCTAATTCAGTAAAATAATTTTTTGGTAATTTAATTGTAATGGCATTGAATATATAAATTAGTTCAGTAAAATTATCATTTTTATTATGTTTGTCCTGCCTAACCATGAAAATTAATATTTCTCCAATTATTTAAATCTGATTTTATTTTTATAAAAAGGTTTTTTTTTTATAACTTTGTTTATGTAGTTCCTGGGTTTGTCTTGGCAGGTGCACCCCCATGTGTTTTATACTATTTAAAGTTATTTTTAATGGGGTATTTTTTACTATCTCTTCTTGCACAGTTTTATTTGTGACTTACAGGAATGCTGATGATTTATGTGGATTTACTTTATATCTTGCTAATTTGCTAAAATTATTAATTGTTTCAAATAACTTTTTAGTTGAGTCTTTGGGATTTTCCAATTATGTTATACCACCTGCAAAAAGAGATAGTTTTATTACTTCATTCCATGTTCTGGTTTTTTCTATTTCTTTTTATTCTCTTACTGCTGTTGCTAGGTTTTCCAATACAATATTGAATAATATTGGTAAGAGTGAGTATCCTTGTTCCACACATCATCTTATTGGGAAGGCTTCTAGTTTATCCTCATTACAAACAATGCTTGCTGATGGATAGATGATTTTTTTTAATCAATTTAAGGAAAAATCCATTTATACCAATATTTCAAGTGTTTTTTTTTAATAGGAATGAATGTTGAACTTTATCAAAAACTTTTTCTGCATCTATAATCATACAATTGATCACAATAATCATATGGTTGATATGATATTGATGTAATAATATGATTGTTAAAACTTTGTTATTGATGTCATCAATTATGCTAATAGTTTTCCTTATGTTAATACCATCCCTGCATTCCTGGTGTAAATCCCACTTGATCATAATGTATAATCTTTGTAACATATTGTTGTAATCTTTTAGCTAGTATTTTATTTAGGATTTTTTGCATCCATATTCATTAACGAAATTGATCAATAAGTTTCCTTTTCTGTTTTTACTCTTCCTGGTTTGAATATCAGTATCATATTTGTTTCATGAAAGGATTTTGATAGGATTCTTTCTTTAACTATTAATTCAAATAATTTATTTAATATTGGAATAAGTTTATAGTTAAATAGTTAAATAGACTTCACTTGTAAATCCAGCTAGTCCTGGTGCTTTTCTCTTAGGAAGTTCATTTACGGCCTGTTCAATTTCTTTTTCTAAAATAGTTCTGTTTGGGTATTCTATTTGCTCTTCTGCTAGTCTAGGCAATTTATATTTTTCTAAATATTCTTCCATTTCACTTAAACTGTTAAATTTATTGGCAAAATAACTCCTTATCATTGCTTTAATTTCATCTTCATTAGTGGTATATGTTTACAGTCTTGACAGTGAATACAGACATCCTAAGAATGTTTATTCCCTCCAGCATTCCTCTGACTTGAAATTTTAGCTAAGAGGCAAGGTTTTTTCTACTTCTCCCTTAGCCAAGAAATATACTGCTTGTGTGTAACTGCAGATTCTCTATCCTCAGAGACTCCCAAACTCACATAAATAAGTAGATATAGCTCATGTCCAAACATCGGCAGGTAAGCCATAAAGCTGGTGGTATCATTCCTGGTGGAATTATCCATGTATGCAAGGAAAAAATCACATGCTGGATCAGTAGAGATTTTGTTCTAGGCTCAGTGTCCCTAACATATTCATCAAAGTGTATTTTAAACATTGACATTGTGGTTTCCCTTGAAAGTGGTAAGGTGTAATCCTAGGTTTCTTGAAACCGGCTACAGAGGAAGGAAGCGAAGGAAGTGACAAACATTTATACCATACATACTATGTGCCAGGCACTGTGCTACAAATATCTCATCTGATCCTCCCAACTACCTTGTGAAGTGTGTGCTCTTATCTCCAATTTCCAGTTGAGGAAACTAAGGTAGGAAGTGGAATAAGTTACTTGCCCAGTGTCACACATCTTGTAAATTATGAGGCCATATCTGAACTCAGGTTTTCCTGACTGTAGGCCTAGTACTCTATCCAGTCTACCAACTAGCTCCTCAAAGCTAAAATGTTTTTGACCAACGTCCTTTCAAAGTGTATACCTTGGTCTGAATGGATTCTGGCAGAAAGTCCATATATTGAGAAATACTTTCCCCACCATGCTTTAGCAACTGTGGAAGCTTGTTGTTTGGTAGGTGTGCATACCTGGTGAAATGGTCAGTGACATCCAACATATGACTTGTGTTCCTGCTGTCTCCTTCCAGAGGAAGAACACAGACAAGTATCAAAGGTTTACTAGTGTCCATATCTTTCACATATGCAGCACAAGTTAGCAGTGCTTTTCTTTACACACATTGGTCAAAAGTCTCATGGTTTTAGTAAGCTCTATAGCTATCTTAGATGGGTAAAATCTTTTTCTCCCTAGATTTAGGGGCTTTCTTGACTGCTATGTTCAAAGTTGTCATGTAAAGCTTTCTTGGCCATGGAGCAATAAGTACTGGGTAGCACATATTGCTTTCTGATCTCCTACATGGGACCAGTGATGGTCTGTTCCAGGGTTTTATTGCCTAGCTCCAACTTCTGTCATTATCTCAATGATGCTTTCAACTGTCTGGCTCTAGAATCTTTTTCCACCCTCTCCCTGTTCTTTGACTTGTATTTCATCTCACAGTCCTTTCTCATCCATTTCCTCTCTTTGCCAGTCATCTACAAAAAGGTAAGGCAAAGAAAATTGGTTAAAAAAACCCTGGTTCATATATATTGCTGCTATGCCATCTGGAGGAAGTCCCAAACCTTTAGCTATGTTCTCATCTACTTTTATCCAGTTCCTTGGTTATTATTTATAGTTTTTGCTACTTTTGTAGGTATCAGTATCAGAAGACATCTTAGACAATGCACATACTTCCATATTAATCTTCCCTGGTTGTTAATGAATATAGAATTCATGGTTAGCTGGTGCTGATCATACAGTACCTTCCTTGGGCACTGATCAGAATACAGCAGTGGAGAGTTGTTAGTCCACACTGGCAATTTAATTTCATACAAGTAATCCTTGAATTTCTCAATAACAGCCCATTGCAATTCCAGGAACTCCAGCTTGTGAAGAGATAATGAGCTCACTACCACTTAGTGCCCTGCTGGGAAATGAACTGGTTTCACTTGACTGTCATTCCATTGCTAGAGTGCTCTCCTAAACCCTCCAAGATGACATCCACATGCAGGAAATAAAGACTTGTTTGGGTCAACACAGGCCAACACTTGAGCATTTGTGTGAAGCATTTCATTAAATCTTTAAAATTTTGTTAATATCTATCTGTCCATTGGTCTCCAAAGAATTTATTGGGTATTTATGGGTAATAATGAATACTACTCTAATTCTGACAATCTGTGAATTTACTGACTAGGGATTATGTGAGACCTTTAACAATTTCAGTAGATCGGTGAAAATGAAAGCTATCTTGCAAGGTGTTGAGTTGACAGTTTGGGTAAGGGTGAGGAAAGCAGTGAGTATACTGAAATAAAATTTCCCACTGTCAGACAGGAAAATACCATTTGAAAAATGAAACTCATTCCTTGAGTGACTCCAAAAGGCCTGCAAGGGGGCAATGCCAATTAGAAATGGAAAGAATATGTCAGCTGAGTGGCATGGTTTAGGCAACTGGGCACATGTGAGTAACCAGCTGGCTCTAATTAGGACATCTGGGTGTGATTTGCTTTATTTTTACTTTGCCATTGTAGAACCATTGACTGCTGGTGTCACTGCAAAGGGTGCCGATCTCTGTTTATTTTGTTGATGTTATCAATTTACATCTTTTTGCAATAATTAGCTTCTTTTAAGCATAGAGGCAATAATGAACTCTCAGGTCAAATGGCTCCCACATCTGCTGCTTCAATGAATTTGTATTAAATGAAAATTTAGGAATAAAATCACCATTTGTCAGGTTCTCAAGGTAGGAAAATTCCTAATATTTAGGCACATGTTTCGATCTCTGTCTTCATTTACATTTATATTTATCTGCATCTACCCATAATTCAAGCTAGGTGGCACAGTGGATAAAGTGCTAGACCAGGAGTCTGGAGGACCTGAGTTCAAATCCTGCCTCAGACATTTACTAGCTGTGCCACCTGGGCAAGTCACTTAGCCTTCTTTGTCTCAGTTTCTTCATCTGTAAAATGACCTGGAGAACAAATGACAAACCACTCCAATATCTTTGCCAATAGAACCCCAAATTAGGGTCATGAAAAGTCAGACACAATGAAAATGACTGAATAACATCAACTTTAAATAAGTCACTTAATTTCTGCCTGCCTCAGTTTCCTCAACTGCAAAATGGGAATCATAATAGCACCTACTTCCAAGTGTTGTTGTGAAGATCAGTTGTGAAATGATATTTGCAAATTGTAAAGCCCTGTGCCTGGCACATTGAAAGTGTTTGACAAATGTTTGCCTAACCCCTTATATCTTGGTGACTAAGTTATCAGGGGGAAAAAAGTGAGCAAAGAGTGCTACGGTGTCTTCTGCTCCTAGATGCTTTTCAGGCCAATGGCCCTCCTCAGCCTTCCCCTGCCCACCATAGCCCAGTCCTAATTTTTCTTTCTTTTTTTCTTCTATTCCCTCCATCTCTGTAGAGCTCAGCTCATGAGATCTCCACTCCTTCTTCAGTGCTGCCAAATCCCTTAGTCTCTGGGTGCCAAACTGGTCTGCTACTTTATACCAAACCCAGAGGGCATGGGTGAGTCTACACAGCCAATCAAAACACAACTTCCTGTATGGTATCATTAATCAATGACTTTTTGCACTTAGTATGAAGCCTACATTGATTGATTCCATAAATATATGTATATGTGTTCACATTTAATTCACACCTCTCCATAAGTATTGAAGTAGCAGGGCAAGACAGCTCTCATGCACTTTTCAAAGACTATTCTCAGCTGTTGATGATGAATGGAGTAAGACACTAGACTGCCAAACTGTTTTCATGCCAGGAGTAATACGGGATGATAGCTAGTGTGGACGGATGCATCAAGTGAGGGTTTTTAGAGGATTAAGGAGACATGGGAATGTTTGTGTATGATAAGGAAGCCACCACTTCCTTAGGGAGAGATTAAAGAAAAGTGAGAAAGAGAGGATGACAAAGGAAGGGGTAGTCTGCTGGAGATGGGCTCTCTTGTGCATATAGAGGGCTTTGTCTTGGTCAGAAGGGTGTGTGAGAAAGGGATGAAGTTAGCGATAGTGGTAGAAGTCTGGGTTATCATAGGATATCTAATACCAGTGCAATTGACAATATTGGGTTAGGGGCTGTCACTGTATCAGGTGACACAGTGGATAGTGTTGAATGGGAATAAGAAAAACCTAAATTGAAGTCCTACCTCAGAAACTTTCTACCTGAGGGACCCTGGGCAAACCATTTAATCTTCACAGACTCAGTTCTTCACCTGTACAATGGGGATAATAATAGCACCCACCTCCCAAGGCTTGTCATGAGTGTAAAAAAGATCAGGTTTGTAAAGTGCTTTTCTCACCTTAAAGTTCATATAAATGTTAGCTAATATTACTAGGGTAACTTCAAGAGATGAAATCAACAGTATACTTGCAATTGTGCAAGGAAAAGGAAACAGAGAAGGAAGTAAGGATAAAACCTAAGTCAAAACACCAAAAGGCCAAGGATTCCTGAAAAACTAGGAATTCCTACAGAAGGCAGGCTTAGTTGGCCACCACACTGAGGACCAAGAAAGACCTGCCCACAGCATCCAAGAGTAGTAGAGAGAGCAGAGTCTAACCCAAGCACAAATTCCCAATCCAGAAACTGAGGCTAGAGTTATGTGGATGAACAGACAATGCTGATCACAATGAAGAACTGTTATGAACTGAGGGAGGCCTGAAAGGTAAATCCAGAAAAAAATTGTAACTTCATCACGTGTCCATATAGATCCTAGAAGAAAAGAGTGATGATCCCAAGAATTGTGAGTGTGCCTAGAATTAATGAATAAATACTGCAAAATGTAATGTTAATAAAATGAGAATTATGGAGAAAAGAATGGGAAAGGAAATTAATAGCTTTGACTGGAAGGCAATAAACTTTATCTAGGAACTGAGTTGTATGAAAGCAATGACTGTGTGACACCAAGAAATATTAAAACAAAATAAAGAAGTTGAAAAAGCAGGAGAAAATGTAAGGTGGATTCACAGGGTCATACTCCCCCAATGAGATATGTTCTCCTGTTAGGATAATTTTGATCTTTGACCCTTTATAAATGAATCAGGTCTTAAAGAAAAAAAAACACTATTTGACGTTAAGGCAATTTGTTTAGAAATTGCAAAAAAAGTTTTGATGAAAGTATAATTTGATCAAAAATATTCTAAACTTGTTTTGAATACAATAAGTATAGAATGCCAAAGTTCTCAAATGGGATTGATTTTCTTCGTAAGATCATTTGGAGGTTCATTCAACTGAACTGATGTCATTTCACTGGCAATAAGTTTTGTTTCATGTTTTAAATCCATAATGTTGTATATGTTGTTACTGTGTTTTAAAATTTTCTTCTACCATGAATTTTAGAATTTAAGAAATGTTAAGAGAATGATGCAATCGTATCATTGGAAAATTTAACTTATTTTGACATGATTTTTTGCATGCTATCCTCAAATAATTCCATGCTGAAAACACATTTCAATATTTTCAATATCATAGAGAATAACCAAATAAAGTTTTTCATATCCTACTTATGTGGTGGGTGAAAGATGAAGTGATGGAGGAAACAAAGGTTCTAGCTTCCAAGCATATTGATTTATTAAGAAATACATGCCAATTGCCTAACAAATTGGAACCAGGCACCTCAACTTTGACAGTAGCCCCCAGATACAGGGGAAGATAGATTTTTATGCATTAAAAGCACTTAATTAAATAAGACCAGCTAATTGAGAGAAAACAACTAACCAGGATACAAAATTGGGTAATCTGATTTCTAATTGGAGGAAAAATTAGGGACTTTGGAAGTTAGCAAGAGGAGACAAAATACATGCAATTCCCTGAAATCAGAAAAAGTGTTGTCCTCCCCCCTCCTCCCCAAGTGTCAAACAATCAAGGTACATAGGAATGATAACTGATTGATCAGTATGGGGCCAGTTTTCAGATAAGATATATTGATATACTTGAGATGTATGATTGTGAGAAAACTCCATGCATCAATCTTTGGATCTTATTGGGTTGCTGGTCAGCATAACCTAGGTCTTTACTTGAGGATATCTAAGCAGCAGGTACGGATAATCCACCTTCCCAGGCACACAGGGATAGGTTCAAGCAATGCAATAAAGCTTTCTCCCAATTCCCACAGGGATAGGTTCAAGCAATGCAATAAAACTTTCTCCCAATTCCCACAATTGAATAAAGTTTTCTCATAAAAGAGAAATTGGACTAGACCAACAATTGAACAGAAATGGAACTGAGCTAGCTCCAGAATTGAATCATAAGATGGAGTCAGCATGATTCATTCAATTTCCACTACCACTTGTTATTCCATTCACTCTTTCAGTGCAAACAGATGTCAACTTTAACTTTCCACCCATTCCTCTCTCATCTCTACTTGCTTAAACTTAACTCTTCATTTCTTTTTATATCTGCCTCAATGGACTTAGATTAAATTCTTTCAAAACTTGCCCTTTCTTGTTTTCATATTCTGATCAAATATTTCACTGCCTTTACTCTGCTTTCTCAGTTGCTCCAGTCTTTATTTCCCAATCATATCCCATACTGTCTAGAAAACTAATCTTCACTCCACTGTATTTCTCCTTCAAAATTTAGCACATTTTTTATTATGCAATAACAATTACTTGCAATAGTGCTATCTTTTGGAGCTCTTAAAAGTTTGCAAATTGGAGGTGTATTCCAAAATTTTTAGGTGAGATTTCTTTCAGTTTACTTAAACAATTAAATTCTGTTATATCATTAACAGAAGAAAACACAGTGGCAAGGTAATATATTTTCTCAAATTAATTTTACTTACTTTCAAGTTGATCCCTCATTTAAACAAGCCTCTGTGTTTACATGGCCAAGAGAAATTAATAATAGGTGGTTCTTAAGCAGCAGATAAATTTAAACTGTAGGCTGCAAACCCATCCATTTAAAAAAAAACTTTTGGACCTCAAGGAAAATACTTTCAAATTCACTTCATTTCCTTTTTGTTTTTCTTTAGTCAGTGAAATAACCTTCTGATGGGATGATGGTGATGGAGGATAGGCCCTGAAAACCCTCCCCACCTCCAACTTCCTTGAATTTTCCCACATGGTGAAGTCTCTGGCAAATGCCATGTGGGAAAGTTCAAGGAAGTTTGTAGGGGGGCAGGGAGGTGTTTCCAGGGTCTATACCCTGTCAGTGGGACCTGGACCCTGAATTTTCCCATGCATTTCAGTAGCCCAGATCACTGGTGCCTCTGCCCAAGGCATCTGGTCCACCCCAAGCCCACCTTGATTACTTAACAAACTCACTTAATCTCATCTAGATATTTTCACTATTGTCCCTGGGCCCCCAGGCTATTTACCCTTCCAAATCTCACAGTCTTTTTTTGTATGTAAGTACCAATTTACTCCCAGTAAATTGCTCAGATTCACTTAGAATCCAGCCTGCTTCTGTGGGCCTCACAAATAAACCTCAATACTTTAGAAGGCTCTAGTGGTCAAATTCTTTTGAGGCAGACTCCTGTGCCCTTACATTTTGGGCTTCCCAGCACCCTAAACTGCAGCACTTCTTCTCTTTCACTAAAACAATAGCTGTCACTCTCCAGAGAAAAAAAGACAAAAGGCCTAAATACTGTTTTTGTGTAACTTTCACAAAGTTTTGTTTTTATTTTTCCTTAAAACAAATTCTAAAATGGTACTCCAAAACTTATTAAGATACTTCTTTCAAACCATAATTTAGAAATTCACAGTAGAAAAATTACATTTCAGTAACAAATTTAGTCTCTAGTTTATTATCCCTGCCATAATTTGTGCAGACTAGGGGGAAAAGGTTACCTTTTTTCTTCTCTGTCTTATCTGCCATCCTAACTTGGCCAGAGTTATAAAGGCAGAGAGAGAGGGATTCTACCTTTTTGGAAGGTTTCAGAAATTCTGTGGGACAGTTTTCATTCTTTACATCCTTTACCATTTGGTTGATCAGGACACAGGAAAAAGTCAGCTGGACTTACCCACACAAAACACTGACCATGCTAACAACATAGTGGATATTACACAAAAAAATACACTTCTAGTGTCAGGCTACTAGTGTTTTGCTCTTTTTAGTCCTGCTTAACATGGAGATCTTAAATTTTTACAGTAGATGAACTTCTCAGAACTGAAACTTTACCCCCTGCATCCTTGTAAAAGTTGAGCCCATTTTCTGCCTTGTAGCCAACATGGTGAAAAGTGAAACTGAGGTTAGGGAGCTTATCTCAGTCCCCCTGTAGCTGGCTTGGCTGAGGTCACAAATACATTACCTTGTCAAGGGAGGCCACTCCTAGGCACTGCTCCAAACGTTCCTAAAGTCCCTCTGTGAAGAAGAAGGCATCCCCACTCCATGAGGTCTGAAGCATTGGACCCCTCTATCATTGAAAGACATGGGGAAACCATGGTCCTTAAACACACAGGACTCCTCTGGAATTTTTGCCCTCAGAGATGACTTTTAAAGTTCATTCTAGGTTATGTGTAGGTTCTAGAAGTCTGAAGCACACAGAACTCTGAAATGTTTGTCCTTGAAGG